ATAACATATGTTATATTAGAACATATATTATATTATATGATATATGTTAGAATATAGTAGATGTTATATTATAACATAACATATAGTAGATGTTATATTATATACTATATATTATATAGTATAACATAGTATATAGTAATGTAATATAGTATAACATATAGTATATAATATATTGCAATTTATAATATATGTATATGTAATTAATTTGCGCAAAAATAAACGCAAGGTGCCTGGCGGCACAATGGTACAAGGTGCGCCCAGAGAAATCGGACTCACCCACAGACTGGGGTTCGAGTCCCCAATCTGGGATCCTCGTGCCTTTTTTTTTTTTAATTTCGGAAACCGTATTCCTTGAATACGTTCTGCAATTAAATCATGCAGAAACCGTATTCAAGGAATACGTTTTCGATATTAAATATAAAAAAAAAAAACTTCTTCTTCTCTTCTTCTTACGCGAACAGACAGCAAAAAAAAGGAAAGAAACAGAGACAAGAGAAGAGAAGAGAAGAGAAGAGAAGAGAGAGCTCGATTGTACTGCAATTCGGTCGAAAAAAAAGGGCATCACCATCTCACTACCACCGCACGGTATATTATCGCCGTCTCCTTACATTTTGTTCAATTAGGACTTCAATTTTTACTAATTTTCAATCATTTTCGAATTAGGGTATTGTTTGAATATTGAATATCTTGTTTGATGGAAATGAGATATGTTGATGTAATTGTTGAATATGTTTGTATGTTAAATTGATGGGTTATTTGAAATGTGATTAGGTTGTGTAGTTTGTTTGAGAATATATGATTTCAAGGTGTTCGATAAAATGCCTCAAAGGGGTTCTTTAGTTCGAGCTTCTTTTCTTGTGTTATTGGCTTTCTTGTTACATATTTGTGAATTTGGGATGATTGTGATGAGGTGAAGAGGTGTTGAAGGTGGATATGTGAATTTTTAATATGTTAAATTGTTGTTTTAATTTTAGGGAAAGGGGTTTAGGTTTGAAATTATAATGTTATTGAAAATGTGAAATTGTGAACTATTGTGTGAACTTCGATTTTTTGGAATTACGACTCCAATTAGAACTTCGAATTGTGAAGTGTTTTTGTTAATGTTATTAGCATCTATTGTTCTTGATCAATAATTTATTATTTTTTCCTATTGTTTGTAGATAAATGGCTTCATCGTCATCCTCACAGCCTCAGCAGTACAGTGTGCATCCTGGTCCGAGGGATGAGAGCCTTCTATATCTCCAGTACAAACATCGGGCAGAAGCGATATTTTTAAATGTGCCGGGAGCTCGTGACATGAAGTTCACAAACCGTCGTTTCGACACCTAGTTTTGGAAGGCAGTGCCAAAGCAGACGCTGTCGGTTTGGAGGGCCATCGACCGGACTGGTTTCGGCCCCATGTTTCGAATGGGTCGAGTCCAAGCCGACAACGCCCTCCTCACTGCTCTCGTGGAGAGGTGGCGCCCAGAGACGAATACGTTCCATTTCGATTTCGGCGAGTCCACCATGACGCTCCAGGACGTACAAGTCCTATTCGGTCTACCAATCGATGGAGCTGCTGTTGTGGGAGTGACTGTAGAACTATCACCCTTACAGTGGCGAGAGAAGTGCAAGAACTTGCTAGGGTTTGAGCCCTACGTTCAGGTATATTTTTTCATAATTTTTTTTTAAATATATGTCAACTCAATATATCATTTTTAATATGTAAAAACTACTCTCAGGATCCTCCCACCACCGAGGCAGAGCAAGCAGCACAGAACCCTAGCTCGTGGGAAATTGCTGGCCAGTGGTTGAATATTGGGCCTTTGGAGCGCTCTTGCAACACTGAGTTGCAAGAAGGACAACCGGATATCGTGTACGAGCAGAGGGCGAGGGCCCTTATCTTGTGGTGCATTGGGTCATTCATCTTCCCCGACCAGCGGGCGGATGGCGTCCCACTTTACTGGCTCCAGCTGCTAGAGGACTTCGATGGTATTCAGGGGTACAGCTGGGGTTCAGCGCTCTTAGCCGGAGTATACAGAGCGTTGGCGATCTCGTACGAGGCCAATCCGAAGTGGTTGAAGAACTGTGTTCAATTGATCCAGGTAAATTTATTTAATTAGTATTTAAAAATTTAATATTTCATTTTTCTTAATTCGACTAATACCTAATAACAAAATTAATGTCCACTTGTGTAGGTTTGGGCATGGGAGCATATCTCTTGTATTCGCCCAAAGGTGAAGAGATGTTTGTTTGGTACTATGCCTGATTGTCCATTGGGAGGGAGGTAATCACTTTTATTTTTATTTAATCCGTACATTATTTTCATTATGGGAGCATATCCCTTGTATTCGGGTTCGTCCCCACGCTCAGCCGTCCACCCAGCCCTTCCCACCTCAGCAGCCGTCCCCACCTCAGCAGCCGTTCGCCCAAGACTACTACATACCTCAGCCGGCCCAGCCCTTCTCACCTCAGCATCAGTCCCCCCCAGAACTACTATATACCTCAGCCGCCCGAGCCTCAGCAAGGTGAGATTTTTAAATTGAGTTTTTTTTTTTCGGTCCAATTTATGATTTGTTTTTTCCAATTGAATTACACAGGTGATGATGACCAGACTTTTCAAGCTGACACGCTTCTCACACCTCAACCTCAATTTGTATATGCTCGGAGGGGGTCCAGACAGCACAGGCCTCCGGATACATACACCCCTAATTAGTTAGTTGTGATGAATTCGTAGATTTTGTGTTTCATTTTCAGATGTTGGATTGTATGTACAATCGAAGTCAAATTAATTTAATTTGTGTTTCATTTTGTGTTTCATTTTCAGATGTTGGATTGTATGTGTTTTTTCATTTGTTTTGTTATAGTGTATGTTGGATTATTATTGGGCAGATATGTTGATATTAGTTGCTCGAACAGGTATATTTGATTTTTGGGTAAAATTTGAATTTTAACAGGTTTTTTCAAATTTTTTCTTCTAAAAACGTATTTAACAAATACGTTTTACTTTTAAATTAAATTTAAAAAATATGAAAAAATTTTAAAACGTATTTCATAAATACGTTTTAATGATTTAAAAATAAAAAAAAAACAAAATTACAAATGTATTTATGAAATACGTTCTATTATTTTTAAAAAATTAAAAAAAAATAATATGAAAACGTATTTAGGAAATACGTTTTGATAGTTAAAAACAATTAAAAAAATAATATGAAAACGTATTAAGGAAATACGTTTTGATAGTTAAAAACAATTAAAAAAAAATTGAAAACGTATTTACGAAATACGTTTTGTTGTTGATTAATTTACTTAATTAGGATAATTAACTGAAACGTATTCCTTGAATACGTTTTATTTTCGAATTTTATTTAAGCCGTATTCCTATCTAGAAAACGTATTCCTTGAATACGTGATTTTTATTTTGTTCCACAACTTTTTTTCTTTTTTTTTTTTTTTT